CCAGCGCAGCGCAGCGCAGCGCCGGGGTCTGCCTCGCCGCCGGCCTCGGTGCCGGCACACTGGGCAGCGGGAGGCCGGTGTCAAGGCTAACGAACCGCTGATTTTTCAGAAGTGAGAAAAATGGCCGGAATTAAAACGCCCCTGTCTTTGGGCTAACTCATCCCAGGCCCAAACGGTGGGCGGCCGGAGACGGAGCGAGCCTGGCAAAGACTTGCACCGTCTTCGCGTTTCTCCTACAGAGCTCCAGTAATTGCCCACATGAGCCCAGCTGCAAGCGCTTTCTGCGAGACATTTGTGATAATCGGCAATGGCTGAGGCTCAGGGACCCCGGCAGCCACACCTCCCTCTGCCAGCATTTCACCAGTGCCTCTGGCTCCGGCAGGAGGATGGCAGGGAGCCAGCTACCCCAGCCCCACAGCTGCTGGGGACTCCCCTTACATAAGAGGAATTCCCCAGGGGGCTGTTAGACGGGCTTTACAGCCTCTTTATGCTGGCGGAGAAGGCATAAAGTGGCCACACAGCACAAATTGGGCCCTCCCTCTTATACTCCGTTCCCCAGCTATCCCTCGTTTGCTGTCTTTCACAAACAGTTCTTTCTCCATCTCTTTCTTGTGTGAAAAATCCTCCTGCTCGATACTCACAGGCACCCTGCTCCTTCCGCTGCCATCCAGGCCTTCCTGCACCCTGGTGCACATGGCCGCTTCACTGTGATCACGGCTTGGAAAAGGGGTGTGAGGGAAAACAACGCAAGGACGTGGAAAAGGGGATGAGGGAGAAGGAGGGCTTTCCACATGACAGATCTACATTCCTGTTTTTACATCTGAAGGGGCTGTCAGAGAACGTTTACCTTCTCTTCTAATAGGAAACAAGCCACATTGTCCAGATGCTGTTTGTGGGCTTCGGGCTAGGGTCCTCATGGAGTGGTTTCACTTCCTCTCTTCCCGGTCCTGCAGAAGAGAAAGATGCCTTGGGGGGGCTCTTTGTCCCTCCTGGATCTGGAAGAGATGGATTACGTTTTCTTAGTAAGAAAGGAAGACGCATTGGGAGTATGTGCCGTGGAGGAGGCAAAGGAGTTGGGTCCTAGGGGACTGGCATCTGGAAGAACGGGAACGGGCTGGTTTCCTGCCTGTTTTCCTTTTCAGTAATATAGCAGGCCTAAATAAAACCTAGGAAGAGTTGCCAGCAGAAGCTGAAATGAGCTTTCTCAGCCAGTCCCTATCCTCCTGCGTAGTGGATGAAGAAAACAGAGCACAGGAAGGCCTGTCTGATCGGAGGTGGTCCATGAAGCGATTCAGTCAACACCAAATGAATTTCACCAGTTTAAGATTCTTTTGGGAGGCCAGAATCCCCCAGGTGACAAAGCTGTGCCTAGAGATTAGGAAATAAAAAGACACTGCAACACAGCTAGACAAGCTTCTGCTTCTTAAGGCTATTGAAAACGTTCCTAGCCTACTCGGACAGCTTGGGATATTGGCATAATTACCACTGCTAGTACAATAACAAGGTACTGAAGCAAGGAGATGGTTCTAGAGTCGATGCCATTTATACTAGCAAAACTGGTTTTGCTTTCCATTATCTCCAAACTAAAGCAAAACATGTAAGTGAAAACATAGTTCAATTAAATATTGGGATATATAGTTATTTGTAGAACACTGCCACGTTGACCAACATAGCTGTAGCAGCAGCAGGCTACAGAAATAGCTTTTAGACAGCCTCCCAGAACAGCCAGCCAGCAGACCAGAAATGCCACCACAACATCCACTGTGGTCGAGTCTACAATACGCTCTTTTGACACCTTTTTCCTCTGAGAATCTCACCTACCACGGCCCTCAGCACTGTTTCACAAACATCAGTTAAAGCCTCCCAATTTAAATGGACCTGTAGTCCAGAACGCCCCCATTATCTGCGCAGGTAGCCACCCATCAGCTCTTTCACAAGAGCTGGTGGGTATTAAGTGCAAACTTCAGCCTTAACACTAGCAGGTAACTGTTTCAAATGCAGGTGAGCATCAGTAGCTTCTGGTGTTCACTAACTTGACCGAACTACGCACATTATACATAGTAGTGTCTGATTTTTAAATCTCCAACACAGCATATTACCTCTGCCAGTGTGGCCAGCACCAAGCACTGAAAATAAGAAGTCATGCTCCCAAGGTCATGAAATTGGTTTAAAAATCATGTCATTAAACATAACAATGATGCCTTCTGTCTTTGCTTTTTTAGACATCAGGGTTCATTTTCCCAGCTTTTTTCCCCAAACCAGGAAGATTATACACTTTTTCCCTCAATGGGAAGATTAATTTCTTACACAATTTCAGAGCTCTTGCAGCTGTAAGAAGATAACAGCAACTGTCCTAAGGCATAGGGTGTCAACATTATTAGATGAGCACCAGTGCTTTTGAAATTTTCTGACCAATGAACAATATATTTATCACTCTTGTCATTGCATTAACCTCAGTATTTTCATTTCATATGTCTATATTTTTCTTCCCTTAAGGCTTCTTGTGCCACATTAAAATAGCCTGAGTTCAAACAATAGCCATGCAATAAATGTTTGTGTGGGTTGACATTCATCTCTATGCAGAGGGTCAGCATAAAGCTTATATGCCATATTCAGTCCTTATTTTGAGGTCTGAATTAGGTTGAAGTGAAGGCCTTGTTCAGCTCATCTGTACATGGATGAATTCCACTCTTTGTTTAAAATGCCACCAAACAGTCCCGATCATTTTGAATGGGAAATTCTAACAGACTTGCAAACGGGGAATGTTGCTTTGAGCCTATTCTGAGATCTAGGTGAAACGTTCACAATGAAATTCAAAACCGCATGAAACTTGCCTGGTTTCAGGTTTTGTTACAAACTCAAAACTGAGACCAGGCTCCTTGAAGGGTTCACAGACCTTTTCAGCAAATCTAGATTAATAACATTTAAACTATTTGAATTGTCAAAACAAAACAAAACGACAAAAATACCAGAAAACAAAGAACAGTAACATCTGACTATCATACATCAGTTCTCCCAGAGATGCTGATGGGAAGCATGCAGACACTGTACTTACTACTTAGTATCTTGTAAAGGTTCTTAAGAGCGATAACGAAAACAATGGTGTGCTTTGAAATAGTCTTTGATGCCTTTACATTAAGTATATGGATTTCATTTGTGAATAAGTGCATTTTTAAAGCAGCAGACAATGCCAATATTCTTTTAAGGCTGACAGTTCAGGAGTGTGTTTGCTCCCCCGGTGGCCGCTGAAAATGCAGACCCTCAAGGGAAGGGAAGGGAAGGGAAAGGCCTCCTGCCTGTCTTGCTCCCTTCACAATGGGGGACTTCCATCATTCTCCCACTGTTGCACCTCACACGGGGCAACAGCAGCTGTAATTGCCGACCGGCATGTACTGCAACAAAACTGCAACAAAACGACCTGCAAGTGGTCCACCTCTTTTGGAGGTGTGGTCATTGTGTATTCACACAAAAAACTTTTTTTCCTTGTTAGGAGCACAAACAATTTAAGAGTCAGGCAACCCCGATCAACTGCAGCTGTCTGGATCCCCACTGAGCAGTTGAGGTGGCTCCTGATTACCTGTATTGGGACATCTCCACGTGTGTGGAGCAGGACAGACCTTCATGGCCCACCTCATCAGCTGGAAAACGCTACATCTTATCTCTCTAACTAGACAGGTCAGTCAGAGAAACCTCAGCCTCTGTAGTTAAGTCTGTTGCCCAGAAGTATCAGGCTTACTGCCTTTGAGGACCAACTTTTTGTGAGTCAGCGGGAGTACAAGCTGCCTGCCTCAGCTTGCTGAGCTGAGGCTCCAAGAGGCAGTGGCGCCTGCGTGGGCCTTACAGTAT